GGGCTGGTGGGGGAAGGGGGACTCAAGCACCCCAGGGCAGAGGCCCAGCTGCCAGGCGGGAGGCCGGTCATCAAATATTCATGCCGGGCGAGGCCCTGGTGGTTCCACATCCCATGCTGAGCCCAATGCAGTGGAGCCAGCAGCCAGCTGCTGGGGTGGGGGGTTGCTGAATGGCAGGGTCTGGGAGGGGGGGCTCACTTCTGTCGGATGATGTCGAGTTTCTCGGCTATTTCCAGGTGGCCCCGGGGTTGGAAGGAGAAAGCTGTATGTGGATGAAAAGCAATGGGTAAGAGGAGAAGAGACAGGAAAACAGGGGATAGAGAGAAACAGGATTAGCGAGACAGTGGGGGGAGAGGGAGGGAGGACAGGTTAAGACAGAGGGAGGGAGAGAAAAGAAGAGGGGAAGAGAAAGAGCCAGATACACGCACACACACATGCACACACAGACACATACACACACACATGAAACGGTGCGAGAAAGCCCAGGGCTCTACAGGCTCCAGCCACAGTCCCAGACCCCAGGAGCCCCCGCCCCCAGCCTGGGGTCCCCCAGCCTGGGCTGTGGCCTACCTGGCTTGTCTCCAACCACATGGAGCACGCGGGCCTGGCTTTCATCCCCGACAGGCTGCAGGAAACAGCGGGTGTCAAAGGGAAGGTGGCACTGGGCAGGGCCCTGGCCGCCCCTGCTGCCCGTGAGTGCTCACCACGTCTGGGTGGGTCTGGTTGGGCAGCCTTAGTGCCCGCAGGTAGAACTGCTCTTCGAGCTGGGCCTCCTTGGGGTAGAGGAGTGTGAGCTGCTTCCGGATCTCCCGGCCACGTGCCCGCAGACTCTGATATTGGGGGTCCTGGGAGCAGGACACTTGGGGTCAGCCCAGGAAAGGGTGGGGTCCTGGCTAGGATAACCTCTGTGGTGGACTTTGTTGCTTCTTCTTTGGGCTCAACATCCTCAGTTTCCTTTTAGGAACCTCCCCTCAGCACCTCATGGCATGTCCATAAGGACATGACTCTAGCCTGGCCTACTCGAACATTCCATCGCTTGGCCAGAGTGATCGGCTTAAAGACAGGCACATGACCCAAGACAAACTCATGACAATCAGCCCCAGGGCATTGTCTGGAGCTATCAAGAAAATGGTCCTCTTTGCAAGACCTTGTTTTCCCTTCCCCCCAGGGGAGAAAGCCGAACCAAATATGGAGGAGCCAGGAGCTGGATCCAGCCGTACCTGAAGCCAATATTTTTAGCTTTATGAATCACCAGAGCCTGTTGCTATTTTTCTTACTCCTACTTGAGTTATGTTTTCCATCACATACAATGGAGACTTGATGAGTGATAACGGATATGTGTGCTGCCCACCCCCGCACAGGGACAGGATATCAACTCCCTGCAGTACCTGCTGCACTTGACTGTTGTCCCGGCTTACCTGGCAGAGAAGAGATGAGGAGGTGATTAGAGTGATGACGCTGGGGATGAGGGGGCGGGGAAACAGAGGTGAAAGTTCAGGGCTAGGGGATCTGAATGCCTTGCTCTGCCAACGCCTGGCTGGACCCTCCTCCACTCTGTACCTCAGTTTCTCTACCAGTAAAACAGGGAGGAGGCAAGATAACATAATAGCGATCACACCCTGTAGCTCAGTTTAGTGCGGCCTCATGTCTAGCCATGTGCAGAGGACTCTCAGATGAGCCTTTTTCTTCATAACCCCCACTATGAGGGTCTTATCAATGTGATGCCCATTTTGTTGATGAGAAAACTGAGACTCGGAATGGTGAAGTCTGTGAGCATGCATATGGAGGCCTGACAGCAATGGTCTTTGATACTCTGAACCTTCTGTGGTCCTGAGCACCAGGGAATGCAGCAGAACTGGGTCTGAAAGTTGGGTGCTAACCAGAGTGTGCTGTTGGGCAAATCTCTTCCCCTCTCCAAGCTCTGGTATCCTGGTCTGTGAAATAGGCTGAGAGCAGGAGCTCCCCAGTCAGGCGGTTGCATGGTGTACCCAGGATGATGAGCTAGGGACTTCCCTGGTGGTCCAGTGGCTAAGAAGCAGCCCCAGGGATGCCTGGCCCTGGACAGTTGTGGTGTGAGACGATGAATGTCCATATCCTTCAAACTCCTGAAATTGGGTTTCCTGTTACCTGTAGCCAGAGGTATCCTGCTGCCAGCCCCGCACCTGCCCAGGACCCCTGCACTCACCACCAGGGCCCGCACTGCCTCAGTCACAGCCCCCTTCTCCTCCTCTAGGCTCCGGATCTGTTCCCGCAGCTGCCTCAGCTCCTGCCATGTTGAGATCTGGGATAAAATATACATAGAATTTACCACATTAACAGTTTTTTAAGTGTACATTTCAGTGGCATTAAATACGTCTATATTGTGCTATCATCACAACTACCCATCTCTGGAACTACTGAACCTTCCCAAACTGAAACTCTGTACCCATTAGACATTCCTCCCTCCCCCTGCTCCTGGCAACTACCATTCTACATTCTGTCTCTGTGGATTTGACTGAGACAAATCCAGAAGCCTCACAGAACTGGGAATCACACAGTGTTTGCCCTTTTGTGAATGGCTTACTTCACCTAGCATAAGGTCTTTAAGGTAAATCCATTTGGAGTATGGGCTTCCCAGGTGGCTCAGTGCTAAAGAATCCACCTGCCAATGCAGGAAACACAGGAGACACGGGTCAGAAAGATCCCCTGGAGGAGGAAATGGCAACCCCCTCTAGTATTCTTGCTGGAAAATCTCATGGACGGAGGAAGCTGGCAGGCTACAGTCCACGGAGTTGCAAAGAGGCAGACATGATTGATCAACTGAGCACTCACACTGTAGCATGTGTCAGAATTTCCTTCCTTTTTAAGGCTGAATATTATTCCATTGCAAGTATTTACCACATTTTCTTTTACAAGATTCTTTTTGATGTGGACCATTTTTAAAGTCTTTATTGTATTGGTTACAGTATTGCTTCTGTTTCACATTTTGGTTTTTTGGCCTCAGTGCTTGTGGGGTCTTAGCTTCTTGGCCAGGGATTGAACCTGCATCCCCTGCTTTGGAACATGAAGTCTTAACCACTGGATTACTAGGGAAGTCCCTACCACATTTTCTCTATCCATTCATTGATCACTGGACACTTGGGTTGCTTCCACCTTTTGGCCACTGTGAATAATGCTGCTATAAACATGGACATACAGGTATTTGTTTGAGTCCCTGCTTTTCTTTTCTTTTTTTATTGGGGGGGGGGGGCGGTATGTACTCAGAAGTGGGATTGCTGGATTACATGGTAATTCTAATTTTTTTAGGAACTGCCATATGCTTATTTCTTTTTAAATTAACTTCTCTGAGCCTTAGTTTCCCCTCTGGAAAAATTGTGGAAACAATGGCACCCATCTCATAGGGGTGCTGTGAAACTTAAAGGAGACTCATCTGTATAAAGCACTTATACTAGATTGGATGTATGGGGGGGGGGGTGGTCCAAGAGAGGGCTGGGAGGATCTGGGGTCCCTATCACCTTCAGCACTTCAGCAGGGTTTAGAAATATGGTAATTCCAGTCCTAGTTCACCAGCATGTAGTATTATGTAAGTGCTGGCTTTATCATTAGTAGTAGTAATATGAATGTGTGTGTGTTAGTCGCTTAGTCGTGTCCAACTCTTTGCGATGCTATGGACTGTAGCCCGCCAGGCTCTTCTGTCCATGGAATTCTCCAGGCAAGAATACTGGAGTGGGTAGCCCTGCCCTTCTCCAGGGAATCTTCCCGACCTAGGGATCGAACCTGGGTCTCCTGCATTACAGGCAGATTCTTTACCGTCTGAACCACCAGGGAAGCCCAGTAGTACGAATATTAATATTCACTGCCTTATTCTCAACACCAGGTACAGAACATACACACACCCTAAATATGTTAAAAAACACATTCGTTCATAAAATAACACCACTTAACTGCCTGATACCTCTGGGGTAAGTGCATAACTCTTCCTCTCACTCCCCAAAGGCAAGAGTCTCCCCTTAACCCACTGATTCATATCCCTGTTCCCCGTTTTCCTTTGTGGCTTTACCATAAGCCTGGCAAGAGGTCTGAGCACAGAGGACGCGGGAAGACAGTAAGTTCCTAGGGCAGCGTGGGTACCCAGCATGCTTTATGGGCTAGGAGCATCATGGCTATATGGACAGTAGGACCTTAGCACTCCGTGGTATCTGACACGTACTTAGGTGCCAGACACGACACATTGGCTAAACTGGGAAGGAATTAAAATTCTTGCGATGAGAACGCCCCCTGCTGGATAGTATCTTGTAAGCCCATTTCGTTCGTAAAGCGAACAGCCAATAGGCAGAGCGGACCGGCCCCGGGTGGTTGGACCGCGCAAGCGCACTCACGATGCCGGGCAGATCCTTCGACCGCAACTCCCCCTTGCGGAGCTCCAGGGCGCGCGCGGCATCTTCCGGGTATGCGCACAGTGGTTCCATATCCAGCTGAGGGAGCGCGCTGTAGCCCTCACGCGCGTGTTCGTACAGGAGGTTCCGATCCCGTCTCTCCGTAGCGAAACTTCTCTTGAAACTCTGGTTACAGACACAGCCTCCTCGAAGCCGCAGGCCCCGACCAGCCACTAGAGGCCCCAAGCGCCGCACTATGGACGCAGCCATCTTGGAAGGCGGACAAGGAGTCACTCACCCTTCGTCCCGCCCACTGCGCACTTAGACCAATTACAAAGCTGCTGTTCTGCTCGAGACTAGCCAATCAGACCCTGGAAGGGGGTGAACCCCTTCCATGCCTCAAAAAAACACAGTTCAATGAGAACAGTTGCCCGAGATTGACACTATCATTGTCCAATCGTCCTCTGCTCCCCACGGTTTCAGTGTACACGAGAGGCAGAACCAGCCAATCACTGCCAGGGCAATCCCCAGATCGCGCTGGAGCGGTTTCTGCGTGTCGGCGGATCGGGCTAGGGTCGGTAAGGTCTACAGAGCTCGTGTTCTCCAAACCTCCGGGGTCTCCCCTCAGGTTCCCGTTTTCTTCTGTGTGTGAGCAGGGACAGTTGGCTCCCCGAGAGCCTATTCAGTGCAAGCCTAAACTTACGGAGGGACTTTCTGTTAGCAGCGTTAGGGGTTGCGGTTATATGGTAGAGGAAATTGTTGAGATTTAACCGGAAGGCTAAATAGGGAGGGTTGGGGAGAATTTGGGCTTCCATTGTGGCTCAGCTGGTAAAGAATCGCCTGCAGTGTGGAACACCTAGGTTCTATCCTTAGGTTGGGAAGATCCCCTGGAGAAGGGAAAGGCTGCCCACTCCAGTATTCTGGCTTGGAGAATTCCATGGCCTGTATAGTCCATGGGGTCACAAAGAGTCGGACACTGAGTGACTTTCACTTCACCAAATAGTGAGAACTGGGGAGAACTTGGACCCTACCCCAACGAAGGCCACTTTCTCTTATCCCCTAATACAGGGACTCTGCAGGCGGTGGGATGTCTTGGTCTGGCCTTCTCCGTGGCCTTAGCACGTCCCTAAATTATGGTAAGTGGGGGTTTGGGCCGCCCCTGGGTGAGAATTTGGCTCTTCACCTGACTGAGATGGAGGCTCTGAGCACGGGAGGAATGTGATCTGACCCAGGTGTCCACAGGATAACTTTGGCTGCGTGTGGGGAGCAGACAGTAGAAACAGGGAGACCTGGGAGGAGGGGGAGGACAGGAGAGTCCAGTGGGAATCAAGGGTAGACAGGACCAGGGTGGATGCTGTGGAGGAGGAAGGGGATTCCGATCAGTTGTGAAGGTTCAGTTGACAGAATCTGCTCATGGCGATGGGAGTGGGGTGACAGGAGGAGGAGTGACACGCTCAGAGACCACCCCCCGCCCCCTATAGGGTTGCTGTGGGGCGGTGTGTGTTAATGTAGATACGATGCATAGAACAGAACACAGTGTGAACCTGTGAGTTAACTCTTACGAAATGCTTAAAAAAGAACCTGACACATGGTGGTTGCTCCATAAATGTATTATTACTCTCAGCCATGAGTACCCCCATCCATAAACAAATAGAGCCTCGCGAAGTGCTTGGAACGGCTCCTCGAACAAAAGAGAGAGTGGCTGATGCTATTATCTGTTCTCTGGGATAATCCCTCTTCCGCCCTCCTGGTTGTCTCTCCAGGCCTAGCTCTGGTCCCCCGGCCTTGGACCACGCGTCCCATGGCCACCCTGAACCAGCTACACCGTCGGGGCCCCCCGAAGTTTCCGCCTCCGAAACCAGGCCCGACGGAGGGCCGGCCACAGCTGAAGGGCGTGGTCCTGCGAACCTTTATCCGCAAGCCCAAGAAGCCCAACTCAGCCAACCGCAAGTGTTGCCGCGTGAGGCTCAGCACCGGCCGGGAGGCCGTCTGCTTCATCCCTGGAGAGGGCCACAGCCTGCAGGAGCACCACGTGGTCCTTGTACAGGGCGGCCGCACGCAGGACCTGCCGGGTGTCAAGCTCAAGGTCGTGCGCGGGAAGTACGACTGTGGCCACGTGCAGAAGAAGAAGTAACTGTGGGGGACCCCGTGGGAGGGTGATCACGCAGAACTTTCTTTCCTTCGGTGCACCTGCAGTGCCCTCAGGAAGCAAGTCCAGCTCTAGAAGTAACTGGTCTAAGTTCAAAGCCCACCCTAGTGGACCCTTGACCCTTGGGGTCCTGGGCATCCCTCTCCCAGCACCCTTGGCTTCCATGCTGGCACCAGCAACTGCTTCTGCTGGGACAAGACTCTGTACTGCCATCTACTGGGGAGGTGTTGCAATAAAGACCCCAGCCCTCAAGGTTGTGACATGAACCCTCTTACGTGGTATTCACCCTCTTTGCGGTCTTCGAAACTGGTCATCCCCTCTGGCCTCAGTTTCCTTCACCAGAAAAAAATAGCTCAGCTGGCAGTATCCCCTCTGTTGGATTTGGTGAAGATTAAACCAGATGCTTTATGTGTATAATAGCACATGCAGTGACTGCTCTATTACAAGCTTTGGAATCAGGTGGGCAGCGCTGAGGTTCAGTTCCCCTTCCTTCAGGCCAAGAGCCTGGACATGAAAGTCCTCCTGTCAAGCTTCCTCATCTGAAAAGTAGCAGTAATTGTAATGTTGGCGACAAAGGGGTGTTGGTGGGATTGAATGGTGTGCACAGCTCTGCTCAGACACACACACCTGGATTCAAATCCTGCCTCCACCTCTTCCTTGTTCTGTGACTCTGGGTATATTTGTTCCCCACTCTGGCTCCATTTCCTCCCTTGGAAAATGGCACCAAGAGTGATGCGGACCTCACCTGATCACCTGATCAGCTGTTGGCTGAGTCCTTGTGGCCCATCTGTGTTCTTGAAGCTCACCCACTTCTTGCATGGCATTTAGCACACCTGAGGTTCTCACTATTGGAACTATCCCACACGGCCTTTTAGGTTCAGAGCTGGGGGCAGACAAGCATATCAATTACAGATAAAATCCCCCATCACCTCACACTCTGCACTAATTTTTTATTAAGCTAGCTTGTCAGCTGCACTCAGCTAGGGAAACTGGGAGACACCAGGGGAGCCTTGCTTCCGGAGTCCATCTCCAAGTGGGCTCAAGTATGGAGAAAAGGAGGCTGTCGCCTTGGCAGAAGGCGGGCTGCCCCAATGCAGGGGCAGGAGGGTGGAAGTAGAGGATACAATTTGGGGGTCAGTGCAGACTGGGCCTTAGGAATTCTGAAAGACATGGCACCTGTATGGCTCAGAGGAGAGGTGCTGTTGGGTGCGGTGCTGGAGGAGCTTGCATGGGCCCCACTCCTGAGTCCCAGAGATTCCCCCAAACAAGAGAATGGGTTCCCTTTGAGGCCCCTGTTGGTCCCCCCGAGGACAATCCCTGCTCCCTGCCAGCAATTGCCTTACCCCCAAAACATGCTGACAAGAGTCCTTGTCCAGGATTGTCAGCAGCATTCCTCTGTTTTTAACCAGGGTTTGGTCTTTTTTTTTGACTCAGTGGGTTTGATCCCTGGGTTGGGAAGATCCATCAGGTGGGCAGCGCTGAGGTTCAGTTCCCCTTCCTTCAGGCCAAGAGCCTGGACATGAAAGTCCTCCTGTCAAGCTTCCTCATCTGAAAAGTAGCAGTAATTGTAATGTTGGCGACAAAGGGGTGTTGGTGGGATTGAATGGTGTGCACAGCTCTGCTCAGACACACACACCTGGATTCAAATCCTGCCTCCACCTCTTCCTTGTTCTGTGACTCTGGGTATATTTGTTCCCCACTCTGGCTCCATTTCCTCCCTTGGAAAATGGCACCAAGAGTGATGCGGACCTCACCTGATCACCTGATCAGCTGTTGGCTGAGTCCTTGTGGCCCATCTGTGTTCTTGAAGCTCACCCACTTCTTGCATGGCATTTAGCACACCTGAGGTTCTCACTATTGGAACTATCCCACACGGCCTTTTAGGTTCAGAGCTGGGGGCAGACAAGCATATCAATTACAGATAAAATCCCCCATCACCTCACACTCTGCACTAATTTTTTATTAAGCTAGCTTGTCAGCTGCACTCAGCTAGGGAAACTGGGAGACACCAGGGGAGCCTTGCTTCCGGAGTCCATCTCCAAGTGGGCTCAAGTATGGAGAAAAGGAGGCTGTCGCCTTGGCAGAAGGCGGGCTGCCCCAATGCAGGGGCAGGAGGGTGGAAGTAGAGGATACAATTTGGGGGTCAGTGCAGACTGGGCCTTAGGAATTCTGAAAGACATGGCACCTGTATGGCTCAGAGGAGAGGTGCTGTTGGGTGCGGTGCTGGAGGAGCTTGCATGGGCCCCACTCCTGAGTCCCAGAGATTCCCCCAAACAAGAGAATGGGTTCCCTTTGAGGCCCCTGTTGGTCCCCCCGAGGACAATCCCTGCTCCCTGCCAGCAATTGCCTTACCCCCAAAACATGCTGACAAGAGTCCTTGTCCAGGATTGTCAGCAGCATTCCTCTGTTTTTAACCAGGGTTTGGTCTTTTTTTTTGACTCAGTGGGTTTGATCCCTGGGTTGGGAAGATCCCCTGGAGAAGGGGATGGCAATCCACTCCAGTATTCTTACCTGGAGAATCCCATGGACGTAGAAGCCTGGTGGGCTACAGTCCATGGGGTCACAAAGACTCGGACACCACTGAGCAACTAACACATCGACTGATAGGATCTCCCTGGTGGCTCAGTAGTCACTAAAGAATCCACCTGCAATGCAGGAGATCTGGGTTTGATCCCTGGGTCAGGAAGATCACCTGGAGAAGGAAATGGCAATCCACTCCAGTATTCTTGCCTTGGAAATCCCATGGACAGAGGAGCCTGGTGGGCTACAGTCCACGGGGTCGCAAGAGTTGGACACGACTTGGTGACTAAACCACCATCAACTGATAACCACAGACGTGAGAAAGAAATTTACAAGTATAGTACAGGTCTCTGAGTTACCCTTTGACACTGCCCTGGGGAAGCAAGTGACCAGCCTGGTTGGATCACTGGTTCCTTGGCTGAAGCAGCAGCAAATGGGGTTCACTGGAAGGGTGCCGGGAACAGGCCACACGGGACCTCCCCGCCCCTTTCCCCAGGCATCCTCTGGCTCCTGGCTGCAAAAGCCGCCCTTGATTGATGTTAGTGTCCGGCAGATGACAGTCTGTCTTGGAAGGCCGGGTCAGGCTGGTTAGCTAGGACAGGCGGATCCTGACCCTCACACTGGAGTGGGTCACAAGGGTGCCGTAGTGCCCCACCCAGGAACGCGTGTCTCTTCCATACTGCTCAAAAGACACGTAGCGGATACCCTTGCCAAAGTTGGTAAAGACGTGGGAGACCTGCGCGGGGAAGGAGAGGGAGGGAGTGAGACTCCAGGGGCTACTCTTCCGCCTCCTTGACAGATCGTCACCATCATCTGACCCTGCTCCAGGCGCTGGGGATATAGCAACGAAGAAAGCAGCCCAAAGAGCTCATCCTGGGACTTCCTTCTAGTCCAGTGGTTAAGAATCTGCCTGCCAAGGCAGGGGACACGGGTTCGACCCCAGGTCTGGGAAGATCCCACATGCCCTGGGGCAGCTAAGCCCGTGTGCTGCTGCTGTTGAACCCACACAACCTAGAGCCTGTTCTCTGCAGCAAAAGAAGCCACCGCCGTGAGAAGTCTGTGCACTGTAACTGGAGAGTAACTCCCGCTCGCTGCAACTAGAGAAGCGCCTTCATGAGAAGTCTGTGCAGTGTAACTGGAGAGTAACCCCCGCTCGCTGCAACTAGAGAAATGCCTTCGTGAGAAGTCTGTGCAGTGTAACTGGAGAGTAACCCCTGCTCGCTGCAACTAGAGAAAAGCCTTCGTGAGAAGTCTGTGCACTGTAACTGGAGAGTAACCCCCACTCGCTGCAACTAGAGAAAAGCCTTCGTGAGAAGTCTGTGCACTGTAACTGGAGAGTAACCCCCACTCGCTGCAACTAGAGAAAAGCCTTTGTGCATCAATGAAGACCCATTGCTGCAAAAAAAAAAAAAAAAATCTGGTGAAGCTGAGAGTCTAGGCTCTGACGCTGAAGACAGAAGGGGGAAAGGGCGGAGGAAATTCTGCAAGTGGGTGGGGTTGTAAAATGAATAAGCAAGGGCTGCACTGAGATGACATTTGAGCAGAGACCTGGTGGAGGCGGGGATCTGGAGGAAGAGTGGTCCAGACGGAGGAACAGTGCAAAAGCCCTGAGGTGGCAGCGTGCCTCGAGCAGAGTGAGAGGAGTAGGGAATGGGGTCAAGGAGGCAGTGGGCAGATTGTGTGGGGCATTTGAGATGGGGCCCAGAAGGACTTTGGCTTCTGGCTTTTAATTTTTTGGGGCCATGCCACTTGGCTTGTGGGATCTTAGTTCCCCCACCTGGGATGGAACTTATGCCTCCTGTAGTGGAAGCACAGAGTCTTAACCACAGGGAAGTCCCTTGCTTCTGGCTTTTTATCTTTTGTAATTTTTTAAATTGAGCTGAAATTCAAATTCACCTAACATGTACCATTTAAGACTGCAATTCTGTATCTTTTTTTTTTTTGGCATATTTGTAATGTTATGTAACCATCACCACTATCTAAATCTGGAACATCTCATCACCCCAGGAAAAAACCTCAAATCCATTAGCTGTCATTTCCAATTCCTCCCTCCCTCTGTCCTCTGGCAACCACTAATCTACCTGCTTTTTGTCTCTATGTTGTTCAGTCACTAAGTCATGTCTGACTCTGCAACCCCATGGACTACAGCATGTCAGGCTTCCCTGTCCTTAACTATCTCCTGGAGTTTGTTGAAATCATGTCCATTGACTTGGTGATGCCATCCAACCCTCTCATCCTTTGTCGCCCCTTTCTCCTCCTGCCCTCAGTCTTTCCCAGCATCAGTCTTTTCCAGTGAGTTGGCTCTCTTTGCATGTATCTCTATGGCTTTGCTTATTCTGGAAATTTCCTATAAATGCTATATACAATATGTGGCCTTTGTGTCTGACCTCTTTCATTTAGCACAATGTTTCCATGGCTCACCTATGTTGAAGTGTGAATCTGTACTTCACTCCTTTTCATAACTGCATGATAGGATATTGGCTTTTGTTCTGAGATGTATCCGTGGGATGGTTACAGGCAGGTGAAATCCGCGGTCTGACTCACTTTTTTTTTGGATTCACTTTTTAATAGCTTTCTAGATGCTGAGTCTGTGTGTTGGGTTGGTGTTGGAGGGAGGAGATCAGGAATTGACCAGAAGACCACCTAAAAGGTTACTTTGATAAGTGAGGTATGATGACCGTGACAGCTTAGGCTCAGGAGCCGTTGTGGCTTTGAATCAAGCCCTGCATGCTTTAGTTTGGGTGTCACTTCCGCCCCTCAGTTTCCCCAACTGTAGAATGGTGATGGAGCAAGGATTTTGGTTCACCACTGCATTCCAAGCAACTACAGCAGTGCCCAGTATACAGTAGGTGCTCAATAAATGTCTATTGAATAACTAGGCCATTGTGCTAATGAATTAATGGGTAAAACTTTTGGACAGGCCTGTAATAAGGGCTCAATAATTGTTAGCTGTTGTTATTACAGATACAGGTAGTGGTGCTGAGAACTGAGAACCGAATTTGAGCAGGGTGAGAAGTGGGTGTGCCTCTGGACAGGTCAAGGGTGGTGTGGAAGGCGGTCTGGACCCACCTGTCGGCAGCCTCTCTCAGTCCACTGAAGGACCGGGTTGGGTGAGGCCGAGAACTTGACCACTTCATTTTCATACACGTCCAGGAGGCGGACCCGAAGCCGGTAGATGCAGCCGCAGTTCTCCCGGGCACCCCACCTGCCAGGTGGTGGTGAGCCTTCACGTCTCTGCTACCCACTTAGGTCTCTGGCCTCCAGGAGCTTTGATGATGCCAGGCCTGGGAACCTAGGGGGAGGAGCCTAGGTGCCCCTGAGGTGGAGCCAGAGCCTGGAGGAGGAGCCTGGGTATTCCTGGGGCGGAGCCAGATTTTGGGGGAGGAGCCTGGGGGTGGAGCCAGAATTTGGGGGAGGAGCCTGGATGTTCCTGGGGTGGAGCCAGAGCCTGGGCTCGCCAAAGGTCCGTCCCTCCCTGGCTCTGCTACTTTGAGAGCATAGCTTCCCTTCTTTCAGCCTCACTGTGAAGGGGACACAGGAGCAGTGCCAGCCCGTGGGGGTGACAGGGTGTGAAATGAGCCCCTTCTGTAGAACTGCCACCTCCACCGGGGTGGGGGTGCAGGCAGGTTGCCACTCTTCACTCACCAGTCGGCCACACAGATCTCGATCTGGGCGCTGTCGAGCAACTCCTGCCACACCCCTTCCATCACCAAGTCCACAAGCTGCCTCTTAAAGCACCATCTAGGAAGAGGGGGATAATGCACGGTGGAGGGCCAAGAGTTCCATCATTCAAATCACAGCCCAGAAATCACCTCCTCCTGGAAGCCTCCCCTGACTACCCTGTCTGAAGCAGCCCTTAGGGCTGCTCTAGCAGACAAGACGAATGATGGGCTGTGGGCATCTCCGCTGGCCTCTCAGATTCCCCTCCATCACTCACTCCGCTGTGGCCGCCAGGAGGCTGGGCCGTATGCAGGCTTGCCCCTTATATGTGTGGGGACCAGAACATGAATGCAAACAGAGGCACACCATAGCAGACAGCTGAGCGAGAGTTCTGAGGTCTTCTCATGATCCAAGAGGCGCCGCCCCCCGTCTAAGATTGTGTTGCTTGTATGGAAGGGTCTCCCTTCCCCTCTACTTCCTGTTGGGTCAGTCAATGGGAAGCTTTAGCAGGAGATAGAGGGAGAAGAGAGTGGACTCAGAGTATTTATTCTCCTGGCTCCCTCCCAAGGGATCATAGTGGGACTTTGTGTCTCTCCAAGAAAGCACCCTCTCCACAGTGCTCTCTCCTCCCAGCTTTCTCTGTCATCATGTTTCGATAACTGTTACCTCCCTTCCCCCTAGCCTAGGGTCCTGCAGTATCTCTTGCGTTCTGTCTGTACCTTTGTAAACAGTCCTTCTCCTTGAATTTCAATGTGCCATAATAACAGAAATAGTGATTTATCATGAGAACTGATAAACTGACCAGAACAGAGTGCTCAAGGACAGACCTGGTTATGTATGCTGCTGCTGCTGCTAAGTCGCTTCAGTCGTGTCTGACTCTGTGCAACCCCATAGATGGCAGCCCACTAGGCTCCTCTGTCCTTGGGATTCTCCAGGCAAGAATACTGGAGTGGGTTGCTATTTCCTTCCACAAGCTATGTATGGGAACTTCATAAATGATAGAGGTGGTGCTGACATTCCATGGGGAAAGGAAGGATTCTTTAGTACATGGTGTTGGGAAAACTGGCTTAGTATATAGAGGGAAAAACAAAAAACTGGATCCTTACCGAACATCACATTCAAAGGTGGATTAAAGATCTAAATGTAAAAGATAAAACTATGAGGTTACTAGAAAAGAGTAGTAGAGAACACTATTAGGATCTAAGGGGAGGGAAGGATTTTTTTAAACAAAATTAAAAAAACAAATTCTAAAGCAAAAAAGATGAATTTGATCATATGAAAATAACAAAGAATGCCATGGACACACTTAATTCGTATGGTAGAGTGGGAGATTTTATGTAACATCCAGAATGGACAAGGAACTGACATCTAGAATATACAAGGAATTCTTGTATATCAACGAGAATAAGACATCAACCTTAATAAAAATATGAACAGGCAGGGACTTCCCTGATGGTCCAGTGGCTAAGGCTCCATGCTCCCAGGGCAGGGGACCTGGGTTCGATCCCTGGTCAGGGAGCTAGATCCCACATGCTGCAACTGAGAGTTTGTATGCCGCAACTAAGCCCTGATGCAGCCAACTAAATAAATAAAGTAAGTATTAAAAATAGGAACAGGTAACTGACAAGAGGGAATTCAAAAGCCTAACAATTATTTGTCTAATGACTGAATACATGCATGTGGGAAGGAGAGTGTGAAAGTGGGTGAGGGTGAGGATGAGGACTGTAGGGTAGGGTTCCCCCTCCCTCGCCCCAGTGATCAAAGGCCACTCACTCGAACGAAGTCACGAAGCAGGTCTGGGAAGGAGCTCCCGGCATCATTATGAGGTTCTTTTCCACGGCCCAGCCATTCCCGCCGTGCTCCACCTCCCAGCCTCTGAAGCCCTCTGTGGGATATAATAGGGTTAAACATGAGGGATTCGCACTCCAGCTTGCCCAGGCCACTACCTACTGTGCTCTGTCCAC